AAATAAAAAATCCTATTTAATTTAAAAAATCCTATTAAAAAAATCCTATTTAAATAAAAAATCCTATTTAATTTAAAAAATCCTTTTAAATAAAAAACCTATTTAAATAAAAAATCCTATTTAATTTAAAAAATCCTTTTAAATAAAAAACCTATTTAATTTAAAAAATCCTTTTAAATAAAAAATCCTATTTAATTAAAAAATCCTATTTAAATAAAAAAAATCCTATTTAAAAAAAAGTCCTATTTAAAATTTAAAAACCCGATTTTTAAATTTATTTTTTAAAATCCATTTTTATCCCTCCTGTTGTCCAGGAGTCCCAGGCAGCTGACAATAACAAACGGAAAGTAGAACCGATCCGATTGTGGTCCCCCCCGTGGGCCTTGGAGCCCCCCCCCTCAAGGAGGCTTAAGGGAGAGCATCCCCGTGGTCACATGATTAAAGTTCAGGTGCTTGGCAACTGACATGTACTTACGACCGTTACAGCCTCCCGGGACACGTGATCCCCTTTTGCAACTTTCTGACAAGCAGAGTCAATGGGGAAGCCCGATTCACTTAAGAACCGTGCTACTAAATTAACCACTGCAGTGATTCACTTAACAACGGTGGCAAAAAACATTGTAAAAGAGGCAAAGCTCAGAACCGCTGTCTCATTTAGCAAATTTTTTAACTCAATTGTGGTTGTAAGTTAAGAATTAACTCTTGTTTTTTAAATTTATTTCAATTCGTCGACATCTTTTAATGGCCCTATAATCACTTGCGGCAACTGAATGGAGCGGAGTATTTACTGGCCGGATGCCCTACCCTGTTGCCAATGCGGAGTTTTGTTCGGCCGATATATTCTCGTTGTGCCCAGAGAGAGAAATATCTGCCTCCACCTAGGATGGAACTCACGGCCTCCTGATGGTGAGGCGAGAGCCCCACCTCTCGGCCACCCCACCCACCCCCACTCCCAAGTTTATTTCAATTCTTTATTTGAGGTTTTAATGTACTTTTAAGGTCTAAGCTCCCTTCATGAGAGATGGGCAGCACATCCATCCCTCCCTCCCTCCGTCTTCATCCTCAGCCCTTATGCCAAAATACGATCATTGCTGTCCTTGACTTACAACCATCCTTTTAGTGACCGTTCAAAGTTATAACGGCACTGAAAAAACGACCATTCTTTGACACACAACCTTCGTTCCAATCCCAACGGTTACATGGTCAGAATTTAGATGCTTGCAACGCCCCATTTATGATGGTTGCAGTGTCCCCCGGGCTAACGGGGTTCCCCTTTTACGACCGTCTGACGAGCAAACTCAGTGGGGAAGCCTGATTCACTTAACAACCGTGCTACTAACTTCACACTTGCAGTGATTCGCTTAACAACTGTGGCAAGAAGTCATAAAATGTGGGGAAAACTCACTTGTCTCATTTAGCAGCAGAAATGTTAGGTTCAGTTATGGTCGTAAGTCAAGGACTACCTGGATTGCCTAGCCAGTATTCCTTTATCGGAATATGGGTTCACCCATGACCCTCCCCATTTGGGAGCCCGTCATCCTTTCTAGAACATCGCTCTCCAATCCTTGGCAACTTTAAGACTTGTGGACTTCAACTCCCAGAGTTCCTCAGCCAGCAAAGCAAAGCTGGCTGAGGAACTCTGGGTGTTGAAGTCCACAAGTCTTAAAGTTGCAGAAGTTGGAGAGCCACGTTCTAGAACATCCTTCTCATTTAGGAGACTGTATGGAAGCCACCTGAAGCCTGAGACCTGGGATGGAGCTCACCCACCTTCAAGGGAGCTAAATGAACCGGAGTCCTTCAGTTGGGAGTGGTGGACCTCCAATGGTCTCCTCCGATCTTCTCCTCCGTTCCCTTCCCACCAACTCTCCTCTTTTCCCTCCCTTCAGGCCACCGCATGGGTGAACTTCTTCTTCTGGTTCTTGATGTCCTTCCTGCTCTTCGTGGAATGCATCCGCAAAGCCCCCTACCAGCCCGTGGAGGACCGCAACCCCCAGCCCAACTTGACAGTGCCCGCCACTGGCGACCCCTCTCCTTGAGGGACGAAGGAAGGAGGCGCCACGACGGCTCCCTCCATTCGGACAGTCTTGTTGCCACCTTCTTCTCGGGGGTAGCAGAGAGGACCATCTAACCTGCTTTGACAAGAGACTGGTCTCGTCTCCCATGGGTTATCCAGAGGTCACAACTGGAGCCCCTCTGGAATTGCGTGTCCTGCAGCTTTCCCCCCCATCCTCAACCCAGTCAGGTTCTCCTGAAGGTCACTATGGAATGGAGGGTTCCCCATCACACAAGGCCACAACACACAACGAGGACAGCCTGGCAATGTAAGCTCTTCTAGGTTGAGTGAATGGTGTTGAATGTGTTGCGTCAACGTGCCCCACTTCATTGGCAAACCCACAGGTTGATATTTTGTGTACCACAAGCGCCATCAGGGCTCCTCCTGATGATGCCCACCTCCATAGTGGACAGGGTAACGGTGTTGAGTTAAGCCAAGGGATTCCTCCGCTAAAAATCTCCACTCTCCCATCATGGACCTTCTTCACTAGTGACGTGGGGGCTATGCCACCCCCACACCTGGTGGTTGGTGTGGAGAAGAACCGCAGGAAAATCAATCCCATTCTCGGCTTCTGGGGGAACCTTTGTCGTCAAACCCTTACCTCATTGGGGGAAGAAAGTGGGGTGGATTAATTGGGGTGGGTGGGAGGGAAACCTGGGTCTTCCAATTTTGTCCGAATGTGTGCGGCTTTTTCACGCGGATGGAATTGCTTTGAAGCAAATAAACACACTTCTCTTTTTTTCCCCCCTTAACTAGTTTTGTGTTTATTGAGTCGGGAAACGTAAAAATGAAGCAGGACGGGAGGGTGGCAGGGCAGAAAAATCACAAAATGTGGGAGGAGGAGGAGGGTTTGGGGTCCATTCATACGAAACGAGACACCCCTGAATTTTCGGCCTCTTCCTAGAGACGGTGGTCTTTCTGCTTTAAGCCCAGCAGGGGTCTTAAAATGTTTCTCAATCTGGACAAACTTGGAAGATGCCTGGACTTCAATGCCCAGAATTCCAAAGTCAGCTTTGCTGACTTTGGAATTCTGGGCGTTGAAGTCCGGGCATCTTCCAAGTTTGTCCAGATTGAGAAGACGGTTATAACTGGAAAAATGCTGGAGCAGGCTCAATATCTTGACCCCCCAGGAGGTATCCGAAATGCTACAGGGAGATGATAGAAAAAGCAAAACACTCGGAAGAGGGGAGGACAATGGACAACTGCCCATTGATGGGAATGAGACCGTCTCAGCGGAACTGCAGAGGGCTAATCCTCAAGCCGATGACATCCTTGCCGATTTCCGTCACCTACAACCAAAGGAGGCATCGTTAAAAGAAATCTCCTTTTACAGCTTTCGCAAACACCTCTGAACCCCGATGACACGTAACGTTGGGGGGGGGGGATATACCTTGTCGGGGGTGGTAGCCTCCCTACAATATGGATGCTCTTGGTGTTCAACCCCGAGCTACAGCGGGCGTTGGTTTTAGCTTGGTGGGATGGAGAGGGCTGCCCGTTGTGGATTAACACAACCGTGTCTCTCTCAAGGCTGGTTTTAAGCCAGGTGTGATGCCAAAACGGGGGTTCGGCTAAGAGTCCCCCACCTGCTAATCTCTATCCTAGACCGAAGGGCTCAAACANGGTCTAGTGCCCCCTTACCCAAGGAAGCCAGCTAGGTGACTTAGGGCCAATCACCAGGAGACTGTGAATTGTAGTGCCGCCTTAGCCATGAAAGCTGGCTGGGTGACTTTGGGCCTATCACCAGGAGGTTGGGAGTTCTAGTCCCCCCTTAGACATGAAAGCCGGCTGGGTTTAGGCCTATCACCAGGAGGCTGGGAGTTCTAGTCCCCCCCCCCTTAGCCATGAAAGCCGGCTGGGTGACGCTGGGCCTGTCACCAGGAGGCTGGAAGTCCTAGTCCCCCCCCCCCCAGGCGTGAAAGCCACTGGGTGACTCTGGGCCTATCACCAGGAGGCTGGGAGTTCTAGTCCCCCCTTAGCCATGAAAGCCGGCTGGGTGACTCTGGGCCAGCTCTCCCTCCCAGTCCACCTCACAGGGTTGTTGTGGTGGGGAGAATAGGAGGAGGAGGACGGTGTGATGGGGAGACTCCCTACTCTGAGTTTCATTAATAGCAAAAGCAGGATTAAGAAAAAGGAAAATAGAAAAAAATGAATCTCTGGAGCAACCTTCCCTTTCGCAGCCTTCAACCAGGGGTTGGGTGGGGGTCCCATCCTCCACCACAACACCAGGACTCCCTTTTTTCGGCCAGCAGACCCCTCACCCCTCTGCTTCCCCCTCCCTCCTCTTTCTCAGTGGGGCTTTGGCAGCAAGTGCATTCTCTACGGGTCGGTGGGCTACAACGGGACGCTGAACCTCCTGACCTCCAGCCCCCCCTCGCTCTGCTACTTCATTTCCGCCGTCTCGGGGCTGACGGCCATCTTCAGCCTGGTCTCCCTGCTCCGCGGCCTCTACAGCTTGTGCTACGGCGATGGACACTTGTGAGTGAGGGTCCGGTGGGGGGGGTCCGGGCCGCTGGGGGGCGGGGGTCCTTCTGATGCTACTTCCCCTGCTCTCCTGTAGGGTCCACGCCTGGATCAGGACCTCCTTGGTGGTCTCGGCCACCCTCCTCTTCTTCCTCCTGGTCTCCGCCTGCGTCCTCCGCGTTGGCATGGACGTCTTCTGCAGCTCCATTCAGAGATCCAAAGCGGCAGCCAGGTAAGACTGAGGAGGGGCTGTCGGGCTGAATTCGCAGAACATGCTCCCCTGGGTAGGAAACAAACCCAGTTCCTGGCTTCACCCAGGGCCTTGTGTCAGGTTTCCAAAAGAGGCCCTAATTCAGTGTTTCTCAACCTTGGCGACTTGAAGATGTCTGGACTTCAACTCCCAGAATTCCCCAGCCAGCAAGTGGCTGGGGAATTCTGGGAGTTGAAGTCCAGACATCTTCAAGTCGCCAAGGTTGAGAAACACTGCCCTAATCGATTCATGAGTCTCGAGCCAAGTNCTTATCCGTGGGTGACTTGGACTGTTTGATGGACTCTGATACCTTTATTTCCACGAAAGTAGAAGCCTATTTAACCTGCAGTGTCTCTGTATGCTGGTTTGTGTGTTCTCCAACACAACTCTCACAACGCTTCGCTAAATGCACTCGCTCTCCCAACGGGGAGCTTACCTAACAAGGGGGTTTCCAGCCTGGTGTTGCACAGGAGTGACAGGATTCCTTTGGGATGGGGGCACTGAGGAGGATACGCGAAACACTGGGACTGGCCTACCCCACATTGCCTGGAATAGCCCTTTTTTCCAAATAATATTTGGTTTTCTTTCTTTCTTTTCCTTCCTTCTTCCCCCATCCTATATTCCTCTCTCCTCCCTCTTTTCCCAGATTTCTTGTTCTTTTCTTTCTCTTTCCTTCTTCCCCTTTCTTAATTCCTCTCTCCTACCTCTTTTCCCAGATCTTTCTTTCTTTTTTTCTTTCTTTCTTCCTCTTTCTTTCTTTTGCTTCCTTCTTCCCCCATCCTATATTCCTCTCTCCTCCCTCTTTTCCCAGATTTCTTTCTTTTCTTTCTCTTTCCTTCTTCCCCTTTCTTAATTCCTCTCTCCTACCTCTTTTCTCAGATTTCTTTCTTTCTTTCTTTCTTTCTTTCTTTCTTGCTTTCTTTCTTTCTTTCGCTTCCTTCCTCTTCTTCTTCTTCCTTAATTCCTCTCTTCTCCCTTTTTCCCCAGATTTTTTTCTTTCTTTCTTTTCTTTCTCTTCTTCCCGTCTTAATTCCTCTCTCCTATCTCTTTTCCCAGATTTCTTTCTTTCTCTTTCTCTTTCTCTTTCTTTCTTTCTTTCTTTCTTCCTCCTTTCTTTCTTTCTTTCTTTCTTTCTTTCTTTCTTTCTTTCTTTCTTTCTTTCTTTCTTTTTCTTTCTCTTTCTTTCTTTTGCTTCCTTCCTTTTCTTCCTCTTAATTCCTGTCTTCTCCCTCTTTTCCCAGTTCATTCTTTTTCTTTCTGCCCCTTCTTCCCTTCCCTTATNAGATGTCCGGACTTCAACTCCCAGCATTCGCTGGCTGGGGAATTCTGGGAGTTGAAGTCCGGACATCTTCAAGTGGCCAAGGTTGAGAAACACTGGTCTACTCATTACTTCTTCTCCTGCCCTCGGGTGGTTAGGAGAGTTAAGACCAGTTGTAGTTCTCCAGCCTCAAGAGCTGGTTCTTCCCTGCTCTCCTTATTTCTTTCCCTGCAGCTGCCAAGAGGCTCAACAACATCCCTGGGTCAAGCCTTATCGTCCCGGAAAGTTCTACGACAACCTCTACGCTGCCCAGGTGAGCAACTTCCTCAATTCATCCCCTTGCAGCCGTACCTGGTTCCTCCCTGCAGGGGGGTGGGGGGGGGCACAGAGGTCTCGCCTGGACGTCCGAAATGCCAGCTGGTATATTTTTTTGGAAAATTTAAAAGGCTGCCTGTCTCTGGATTTGATTGGAAGTCAAGTCGATTTAAATCCTGATTTAAATCACCAGTAAAAAGGCTTGGTTTAAATCAACACGGTTTAAGCCAAGCCAACTCGCCCTTATCGTTTCAACAAATCTCTCCCCAAAGTCCATCTTCTGTAACTGTGCCAACTTAAATTGCCAATTCACATTGTCAAAGGCTTTCTGTGCATCTAAGAAAATCCAGCCACCGTCATCTCTGTCCCAGAGTGGCTCCCCTTCTGACCAGCTGTTGATTCACCGAATCAACAGTTCACTTTAATGGGACGGCTGGTGATGTGGCAGGGACTTAACCAGGTGAGGGACGTGGCGGGCAGCAGGTGAGTGGATGCCCGCTAACAGGCGCTGCCACCCTGATGGGTCTGCGACGTCAAGTGTTCTTTCAATGTACGGACTCATTCGTGCTGGTAGTTAGAATGTTTAATACGATTATTTGCAAACAAAATGAAGGTTTCCTACTTAGCTTGGATTCGTTGAATGCGTTGCATAAATATTGCAGATTATACAGCCTCATGCTACATAACTCAGCTCCGTTCCATGTTGAATAAACAAAATTATTAATGTATCTTAAATGGAAAACTACTCTTTGGAGAGATCTTTAGTCCAAAAGCATTTTGTTAAAATAAATTTGATAAAAATAAATAAAAATCCTATTTAAAATTTAAAAATCCTATTTAAATTAAAAAAATCCTATTTAAATTAAAAAAATATTTAAATAAAAAAACTATTTAAATTTTAAAAATCCTATTTAAATAAAAAATCCTATTTAAATAAAAAAACTAATTAAAAATCCTATTTAAATAAAAAAAATCCTATTTAATTAAAAAGTCCTATTTAAATGTATAGTAGCAGTTAGACTTATATACCGCTTCATAGGGCTTTCAGCCCTCTCTAAGCGGTTTATAGAGTCAGCATATATTTCCCCCACAGTCTGGGTCCTCATTTCACCCACCTCGGAAGGATGGAAGGCTGAGTCAACCCTGAGCTGGTGAGATTTGAACAGCCGAACTGCAGATCTGCAGTCAGCTGAAGTGGCCTGCAGTACTGCACCCTAACCACTGCACCACCTGGGCTCTTAAAAAATCCTATTTAAATAAAAAATCCTATTTAATTTAAAAAATCCTTTTAAATAAAAAATCCTATTTAATTAAAAAATCCTATTAAAAAAAAATCCTATTTAAATAAAAAATCCTATTTAATTTAAAAAATCCTTTTAAATAAAAAATCCTATTTAATTAAAAAATCCTATTAAAAAAAAATCCTATTTAAATAAAAAATCCTATTTAATTTAAAAAATCCTTTTAAATAAAAAATCCTATTTAATTAAAAAATCCTATTAAAAAAAAATCCTATTTAAATAAAAAATCCTATTTAATTTAA